CACAACCCATTACCCAAGCCGTTAAAACACAAGAGGCTAACGACCCAGGAGATGACAGCACAAGATCCAGGATATCTCCACAACAAAAGGCCATTACACAGCCCATTATACCAACATCAACTCCATCAACCAATCAAGAGGCTGCAGCACAGCCAACCAGCCCAGCACACCATCCCCCACCACTTGTATATAGAGAGAGATGGCAGCTCCGGTCACACACTGCTTGCACTGGCACTAAGCCGAAAGCACCAGCCTGAAGATGGCGAGTGGGACCTCGCCGAAACGTTGCCTAGATACTTTGAATCTTACGCGGGAGAGAACCCGAATAACCAAAGATCCATATATATATATGTATATATATGTATGTATGTATATGTGTGTGTGTGTGTGTACACACACACACACACATGTATTATATAAAATATCACATAATTGCTGGCTGCCATCAGTTTGGCAGTTCGATCCTGAGAGGGCTCTAAAGCACTGTGAAGCCGTGGATAAGACTTAAGTGCTATTGCTGTTTAATTTTTTTATTGTTGTGGTTAGGCCTAAAAGTCTGATTGCTGCTTTAATTCTGCTTTAATTCTTGTTCCCTTCACAGGGTGGGAAAGGCAAGGTGGGATGGGGGATGGGACCCTTCCAGATAAAAGGTTCAGGCTGCTTTTGCTGGCTTCTCCGTTTTTCTTGTAATTACAGCTAACTAAGAAGGGTAAAAGTGGTGTGGTTAAATGTATGGCAACATTGCATCACCAATAGGGCAGGAATCACTGCCTAGATTTGCAAAGAGGAACAATTATTTGCTGTGGTTTCGAGCCTGCCAATCAAATATTTCATCAAAGCTTGCTTAAATTAGCAATGCAGTACTGCATATTAAGTTATTGTGATTATTCATGTCAGTTTGACAAATTTATATTCATTAGACAACTACCCTTATCAACAAGGAGAAATACCACTATTATTAGTGACATGATCATTACATTATTTACCATAATAGTCACGTCCTGTTTGAAAATTAGGTTGCAGTTAATATTAATGCAGTATTGCCAGATTGCATTTAATTAAAAATGATTCTTAAACATCAGCCAAATTTCTGAAAGCATTATTGGATTTTATTTATATTGAATTTTCAAAGATCATAATTAAAACAATTTTATATTATGATAATTCAAATATTAAAATTCTGTACTTTTAAAATACAATTAAAACAGCATAATTAGGGGTTTGGTGGCACAGTGGTTAAAATGCAGTACTGCAGGCTACTTCTACTGACTGCCAGCAGTTTGACAGTTTGATTCACACGGGCTCAAGGTTGACTCTGCTTTCCATCCTTCCAAGATCAGTAAAATGAGAACGGAGATGGTTGGGGGCAATATGCTGACTCTGTAAACCTCTTAGAAGCGGTGTATAAGTCTAAGTGCTCTTGCTCTTACTATAATTAAAATTGATTATATTTTATTAAACTTCCAGTGTTTAACGTGACAAAATTGTAGCCTAAGAAGGGATGGACGAGTCACTTTGTGATCACAGTGCTAGAAATAATTTGCCCTTTCACTTTGTTCAGCTTTCTGTGATTCACTTTTAGCAGTTGAGCTAAAAAGAAAAAATACGGCAGCATTCTGTTTACTTTTAAGGTGTGGTAAAAAGTAAACACCGAGTTTATGGACTCCAGACTGTTTTTCAAGAGTCTCCATTTTGGATAAACGTATGTTTGATCCAAAGCCTGTAAGGTTCCCTTTGAATCTTCATATTAAATTCAGGAAGATTTTTTTTTAATGTCCAAACGTACGAGGCATAGCAGTGGAGTTTCATATTTACTCATGCCTCTGTATAAGTAGTCCTTATCCCCAATTGCTTTGCAACCATTCAAATTTATGGCAGGCCTTCCTGGGGTTAGAAGTTCCAATGACATCGCCGGCTTACAGAGTCATGTGACCTCATTTCAAGCACTAGGCAACTGGGTTGCATTTGCAGCAATCTTTGAAAAAAGAAACAAAATATGTGAGTTTCCATATATATATATACTCTCTATGTATAATATATATTGCTTTATTGTTTGTGCCCTAGAAATCCTCTATTACAGCGATGACACAGCCATGGCCCACTCAATAGTTAGGTCACTGTTGGCTAAGCAAGATTTTGATGAAGTGGATATGGCAAAGAGGTAAGGCACGTGGCTGTTTTCAGATAGAGGAAATACTATTGGATTAGGTAGAAGTATGAATTTGATGGCATGAAAACTTAAGTTTGTACAATCCGGCATTATTCAATTTTGAATATAAATGAGATTTGCCTTAGAGAGTTTTGTTGGTATGGTGGAGAAAATGAAACAGGCCCAAACATCCTTTGTATTGGCAGAAAGCACAGGAATATCCCAGATACTCTTTGATATCTTGAATTCTCTTCAGTTCAAGTCCCATCTATTGCTGTGCCTGTATTTTATGAATCCATGTGGAAAGTAATGTTGGAAAAGCTGTAAAATACTCCCCAGGAGTAGTGTATTTTACTCTAAATCCAATACTGTATTAGTATTTTACTAATGAGTATTGGATTTATCCTTGCAAAAGATGAACTGCCAAGTGCCAGGGAAATCAGAAGATCTAGGCAGTTTAAATAAATAAAGATTTATTTCAAGCTTGTGCTCTGCAAGAATCTGAGCTGCTAACGGTCAAAGCAAATTGGCGGGAGATAAGAGTCAAAGGAATTCAAGGTGGGCTGGATTTAGATCTCTTGGCGCAAAGAGACTGATGACACATTTGACCCCTCTCTCAGGCTTAGCCTGTTCATCTACATGAACAACTGCTTTTTAACCTTATTTATTAATTTTTTAATGTCACCCAGTCTTGTGCATTATGCAAATCCAGGCGATTGGGCTAAATCATCGAAATCCTAGAATTAATTACATAGCTCTGGATGTTATCTTGATGAGTTAGTATGATCAGTTAATATCCCCCTACGTGGATTAAACAAATCCTCCAAATAACATCCTTAGGGCTTGATCTATGCCCTTGAATAAAGCTGTCTTCTCCTGTTGTTAGCGTCTTTCCAAGCAGACGGAATGCAAATAGCCTATTTTGTAATCAAAGTCTTCTTCTGGCAGGTTTGCTGAAGAATATGACAAGGATCCTGACCGATCCTATGGAGGCGGTGTGGTGACTGTATTCAAGAAACTGCTTAGTCCTAAATGCAGAGACGTGTTTGAGCCAGCAAGGCAGCAGTTTAACGGGAAAGGTTCCTATGGGAATGGTGGTGCCATGAGAGTAGCAGGCATTTCATTAGCTTACTCTGATGTTCAAGACGTAAAGAAGGTGAGTTAATTGTTTTAGATGCCACGCCAACTATTTAAATAGCATTCGAAAGCATTTACATACAGCAATCCTGTTTGATGCAACAAGCTAAGATAGGCCTTGATGGAGTTTCTTTCGATTTGGAGTTGTCTCTCGGTTTATATCCCCAAATTAGCTACAAGTAGTCCTTGACTTACAACCTCAATTGAGCCCAACATTTCTGTTGCTAAATGAGACATTTGTTAAATGAGTTTTGCCCCATTTACAACTTTTCTTGCTGCTAAATGAATCACCACAGTTGTTAAATTAGTTGCACGGCTGTTAAGTGACTGTGCCTTCTCCATTGACTTTGCTTGTCAGAAGTCTCCAGGACACTGCAGCCGCTATAAATATGAGCTTGTTGCCAAGCATCTGAACTTTGATCATGTGACTGTGGGGATGCTGCAACAGTCATAAGTCTTAAGTCACTTTTTTCAGTGCTGTTCTAAATGAATGGTCACTAAATGAATGTTGTAAGTTGAGGACTAACTAGTTTAGAACCACCAAGGACTCCTCATTTAACCTGGAGCTACAAATATTCTTTTTTCTTGGTCGTCTTCTACCATCATGGATGGTCTGCCAATATTTCTGGGAAACTGAATGCCTTTGTAGCTACTATAGGCTTCCTTGAGGTGGAAATTCTCAAGGAATGCAGTCTTGCGAAGGGTATGTCAACGATCCTTTTCCTAGCAAATACTCTTAGAGAAGGAAAAACATTGAAACAGTTGATTTCTACTGCCAAGAACTCTAGCAATGGCATCAGATGTAAACATTAGGGAGCAGTATTAGAACAGAATACAGATTTTCTTTTTCAGAAGAGCCATAAAATTAGCCGTTAAGGAATGCTGTGAAAATAAACAGTGTGTTAAGTTATGAAGGAGATTTAGATATGTTTATGGAAAAGGTGTTCATCCAAGACGTTCAACAAATTAAGTCATATTTTGGACATTTCTAGATTAAATGCGCAGTACCCTTTTCCTTAAATACACATTTGGCATATCTGGCCTTGTTTTTTAGGTGTCCACCTGAGAACTAGCAAGTTAAACATGTAACAGATGTACACGCGCAATCATGTAGGAACTCTTCAGATCAGCTCCTTACGTACTTGTAGTCTGTTCAGAGCTCTTTTGTTCAGATAAGAAAACGGCTATTTTTATCAATTCCTGTCTATATGCCTTCCATGAATGAGGATGGAGCCCATTCACACTAGGGTGACCAACACAGAAGTTCTGGAATGAAAATCTGTTTGTTTATTGATTTATAATTCATTTTCCCTGCAAGGTCAGGCAAATAAGTATAAGATATGTCTCCTTAATGAGGCCTGTCTACTAAGCTTCGATCAAGACTTTATCGCCTTGAGAAGTTAGCTTAGATTTGATATATGTAGAAAAATCATAGAAATTATGTTAGAACCAATGAAGCTGAAAAAGAGAAATTTAGAAAGCAATTGCCACGAGAATTGTGTTTGCACAACAATGGAAAAAGGAAGAGATCCTTACAGATGAAATTGTAATAAAAATATTAGAATGTGCAGAAATGGATAGACTAACACTCAAAATTAAGGGGAAGGAAGAAACTCAGTACTTTTTAACATGGGATTTGTTTTATCAACATCTAACTAGCAGAAACAGAAATTAGAAACTTAAAAGCATAAGAAAATGATTTACATTGAAGATTTACTAAAATAGATAAGTATTTATTATTACTATGTGATTACTATTGATGTTATGAATATTATTATTACTATTTCTTAAAATCAACTGTACTCAGACAACACACAGTTTATATAGATATTGAATTTTTATGTTTAACATTATTTAAAATTTATATATATATATTTAAAATTTATATATATAAAAAAGAAACCAGTTGCCACAAGATATGATAGCAACCATGTCAAGGAGATTAGACATACTCATAAAGGATGCATCTCCACTTAGTTATTAGTCTCTTCAGGGGAATGGGTTCAGGAGAAGGACCTTTTGTGTGCTGCCAGTAGGTTTTCCTTGTTCATTGGGTGAGCTGACATTAAATACAGCATGTCCCATTTATTCAGAGAGAGGCACAAAATCTTTGGATAGGTATATGTTTACCTAATAGCTCTGTTACTGCTTTCTTAAACACTGTAAAGATTCTGTTTATAAATTTATTTAAAACATTTAAAGAATCAAATAAATTGCTATACAAAAATAAAAAAAATGATAAAAGAGGATAATGGATGGAAAATAAAATATCAGTAAATAAATAGTACAATGATAAAACTAAAACTCTTTACATTGATTAAAGTATTACTTGAATATATAAAACAATATTATACCATCTTGAGTGAAAATTGTAAATCACTCTGAAAATCTAAATTTAATATAGGCAGTCCTCGACTTACGACCACAGTTGAGCCCAAAATTTCAGTTGCTAAGAGACAGATGATGTTTTACCACCTTTCCTGCCACAGTTGTTAAGTTAATCAGTGCAGTTGTTAAGTTAGTAAAATGGCTGTTAAGTGAATCTGGCTTACCTATTAACTTTGCTGTCAGAAGGTCGCAAAAGGGGATCACATGACCTCAGGACAGAGGTCATGAGTCCGTTGCCAATAATCAGAATTTTGATCACATGATCATGGGGATGCTACAAAATAGTTACTAAGTGTAAAATATGGTCATAAGTCACTGTTTTCAGTGCCATTGTAATTTCAGTCAATAAACGAACTGTTGTAAGACAAGGACTACCTGTAGTTGCATGGATATCAGCCTTGTTTGTTAGGATCTAAAAGAAATGCACATGACCTCATGAAAAACAGAGAACAATTTAAAAAGACTAAAAAAAAAAACCCAGCCCAAAAATAGTAAATTCTAGACTCCCCATTGTTCCTGACTGATGATTACATTAAATTATGTATAAAATTTAAAATTGCTTCTAATGATTATATGAAATAATTCACCCTTAAAAACCACACTTGGCGTATCTGAGTTTTGTGCGATTGTCACTGCTTCCTAGGTGCTGCCAGCAGTAGCCAAAACAAGTACAGGCCGTCCTCAGCTTACGTCTACAATGGGGAACACAGCTTCTGTTGCTAAACAAAGCAGTTGCAGCTGCACCTGATTTTATGATCTTTTTTTGTCTCGGTTGTTAAGTGAATCACCACAGTTTTTAAGTGAACCACACGGTTGTTAAACAAATCTGATTTCCCCTATCGACTTTGCTTGTTGGAAGGCCACAAATGGTGATTGTGTGACCCTCTGGGATGCTGTGAAGGTCATAAGTACAAGGTCTGGTCGTAAATCACTTTTTTGAAATTTCACATAGTCACTAAATGATTGGTCGTAAGTTGAGGATTGCCTGTATTAAGGTAACAAAGGAAACCACCTCTCCCGAAATTATTTTTAAGTTTTTCTAGTTTTTTTCTAAAACAGTTGTTTTCTCTCTCTCTCCAGTATGCTAAACTGAGTGCTGAGCTGACCCATGCAAACTCCTTGGGTTACAACGGAGCCATCCTGCAAGCCTTGGCAGTCCATTATGCTCTCCGTGGGGAGTCAGAACGGGACAAGTTTTTGGATCACCTGATAGGCCAAATGGAAGACGTGGAGGCCGATGACAAGTCTGTGGCGGATGCACAAATGTAAGAACAGTAGTATCAACCTTATAGCACAAGGGGGCAGCACCCAAAAAATATTTCTCCTCTGTGTCTTCTCTTCAGGCTGGGCTACGAGGACCGTCCCTTTTCAAAGCGTTTAAAGAAGATCAGAGAGTTTTTGGAACAGGGTAGTGTGTCCAGGTCGGATGTGTTACTAGAATTAGGTAAGTACATTCCTAAATAGGAGGGAACCATGAAATTATTACAAGAAATAACTTTTGCAAGAAGAAAGGCGGTAGCATCTTTCATAGAAAGTAACTTAGATGTGACACCTTCAGTCAGCAGCAGGGTGGATTAATGAACAAAACCTTAATTCCTGCTCATTATACAATGATTGCTGCAACATTTACCGTATTTTTTGGACCAAAAGACACTCCGAAGTATAAGATGCACCTAGCTTTTGGGGAGGGAGGGGAGGGAAATCTGCCTCTGCCTTCCATCAGTTTGCCTCCTTGCAGCAAACAGCAAACAGCCCGGTCAGTTTCGGCACAGCCTGATTAGCACAAGCAGCTGATTGTCGGTTGGATCGGCCTCCCGATGATCAGCTGTTTCAGGCTACAGGGATCGCCATCGCCTATTGTCGCCTCCACGCGTCCCATTTTCGGCCTCCGTGTATCCCATTTTGGGCCTGTTCCAGCTGGCAGGAATCGGAATGGGCCAAAAATGGGGCGCGCAGAGGCTGAAAATGGGGTGTATGCAGGCGGCAATAGGTGACGGGTGATCCCTGCAACCTGAAACAGCTGGTCGTCGGGAGGCCGATCCAACCGGCAATTATCTGCTTGTGCTCATCAGGCTGTGCTGAAGCTGACCAGGCTGCAAAGAGGCAAAGAGGCAGGCAGGTGGGGGCCGGCGGGTGGGTGGGCCTTTGGCAACATTCACTGTATAAGACGCTGAAGACATTTCCACCCACTTTTTTTTGGGGGGGGGGGGGAGTCTTATACACTGAAAAATACTGTATGTACCTTGAGAAAGAGGAAACAGAATGAAATTAACAGG